GCTTCAGGTCCTCTTCAGTTTCAGCAAGCAGGGTTGTGTCATCCGTGTAACGCAGGTTGTTGATAAATCGTATCTATTATTATTGCTGTTGTCAATGGAGCGTTAATATCTTATCTGATAGTGTAGGTATCCATGCACTGAGAGCTCTTTGATGCCTAAGAGTTCTTGTAACTGACCAGCCTCATAGTGACCTCATGCATGATAGGATCAGACTACTATGACCCACAGGGTCTGAATTAACCGAGAGTCTTTACAAAATGTAAAGTGGCTGCAACAGGGTAGAGGCATTCAACAGAAACAGCACTGAATGTAAGGTGGAAAGAAGTAATAGTTACATAAGCCATGAAGCAGTTGTACAAACAGAGCAAGGAAACACTGCATGGTTTAAAATCAGGATAGGCATCCTTTTTCCATACCTGTTCAGTCTGTATGCTGAGCAAATAATTCAAGAGGCTGGACAATATATAAGAATGTAACATCAGGATCGGAGGAAGACTCACCAGCCTGCGATGTGCTAATGACATAACCTTGCTTGCAAAAAGTGAAAAAATCTTGAAACACTGACTACAGAAGATAAAAGACCACAGCCTTCAATGGGTTACGTATCAGCATCAAGAAAACAAACATCCTCACCACTCGACCAATAGGCAAAATCATGATAGATGCGAAAAAGACTGAAGTTGTCAGTGATTTCGTGTTACTTGAATCCACAATCAACACGCAGAGTAACACCAGTCAAGAAATCAAAAGATGTGCGGCATTGGGTAAATGTGTCCTCAAGGACTTCTCCAAAATCCCAAGAGCAATGGTGTCAGTTTAAAGACTGAGGTGTGTAACAATGAATGAATGGAAATCCAAAGTCTCTGTAAATTTTCATTGAAATTAATAATAATTTTTTTTTTAATTTTAAATGACTGAGATGTGCCTCCTGCAAGCCGTAGTGTTTTCTGTTGCTTCCTATGCATCTGAAAGTTGGACAATGAATAACGATGACTGAATCTATGCCTTTGAACTGTGGTGTTAGCTAAAAGTCCTGAATATCCCATGAATTAAACAAATCTTTCTTAGAGGAAATGCAACCAGAAGGCTCCTTAGAAGCAAGGATTGTGACACTTCATCTCACATACTTTGGACATGTTATCAGGTTGGGCCAATCCTTGGAAAAAGACGTCATGCTGGGAAAAGTGGAGGGTCAGAGGATGAGAGGAAGACTATCAACAAGACAGATGGGCAGTGACTATAATAATGGGCTCAAGCATGACAAAGACCAGGATGATGGTGCAGGATAGGACAGGGGTGGTGCATGAGGGTGGTGCAGGGTGCTGCATGATAGTGGTGCAGTATAGGGCAGGGGTGGTGCATGGTGACAGTGCAGGATAGGGCAGGGGTGGTGCGTGGTGACGGTACAGGATAGGACGGGGTGGTACATGGTGATGGTACAGGATAGGGCACAGATGCTGCGTGGTGACGGTGCAGGATAGGGCAGGGGTGGTGCGTGGTGATGGTACAGGATAGGACAGGGGTGGTGCATGGTGACGGTACAGGATAGGACGGGGTGGTACATGGTGACGGTACAGGTTAGGGCACAGATGCTGCGTGGTGACGGTGCAGGATAGGGCAGGGGTGGTGCGTGGTGATGGTACAGGATAGGACAGGGTGGTACATGGTGATGGTACAGGATAGGGCACAGATGCTGCGTGGTGACGGTGCAGGATAGGGCAGGGGTGGTACAGGACAGGGTGATGCTGCTGCATGATGACCGTGCACGATCGGGCAGCAGTGGTGCACAGTGGCAGTGTAGACTAGGGTCTCTATGAGTCATAGTTGACTCAACAGCACATACAACATAGACTAAGGAGGTAGCTCTGATGTAGTCTGTAGGGAGTTTAGTTGCTAATCCAAAGAGGGCCTCTCTGCCCGTGCAAAGCCACCAGCAGCTCCACAAAAGAAAAATGGGCAGTCTCTTCCTGTGCGACTTACAGCCGCTAAAAACCAGCTGAGTTCGTTCTGACTCAACAGCAAGGAGTGAATATTTATTCATCATTTGCTATGTGTCAGGTGCTGGTCCAAACGCTTGATGATCTGGCAGCATTCATGTTCACAGCATTTTGAAGCCTGCGCTGTTATCTTGGTTTGACAGATGAGGAAACCGAGTCACAGAGGATGCCCAAGGTTACAGAGCTGGTGAGTGCCAGGGCCAGAAGTGGGAGCAGCAAACACCTACATTACATCTGCTCTGCTACTGACACTGATATTGACACAGGCTAAAGGCAGTGTTGTGTCTCTACCTTACAGAAGATGAGACAGCGGCCCAGTGTATTAAACAATGTGCTTCTAGCGAGCAGTAGCCACTCATATATGCTTTGGGACCAGGTCAGTGTTCCAGTAAGAGTGTCCGGTGCAGACCCTGGGAGGATGTATACCCATTTTCCAGGCGCGACTGGCGTTGGGAGAGGCATGCATGAGGGCACAGCCTGAGCAAAGGTTGGCCGCTCTTTTGACTTCTCCGAGTATTGCTGGCTGGAGCTCAGCATCTCTGTTTGTGTCGCTTTCTCTCCTGTCTTCCCTGGCAGGTCACCAAGATGCTGGCCGTGGTGGTGGTCCTCTTCGCCTTGCTGTGGCTTCCCTACCGCACCCTGGTGGTGGTGAACTCCTTCCTGAGCCCACCCTACCTCAACCTTGGCTTCCTGCTCTTCTGTCGCCTCTGCATCTACCTGAACAGTGCCATTAACCCCATCATCTACACCCTCATGTCCCAGCGCTTCCGGGAGGCCTTCCACGGGCTCTTCCAGTGCTGGCTGTTCCGGCCCAAGCTCCCGCCCCAGGAGGTCACCCCCATGTACTACAGAGCCATCCGAGACTGTTCACAGCAGAACTTGGGCTCATAGAAGGAACCAGGGAACATGCTGTGCAGACGGAAGGGGCTCCCAGCACTCCAGGACCAAGGCCCCCTCCCCACCTACTGGGGGGCAAAGGCCCTCTGCACACCTAGGGAGAGCATGGCTGTCAGAGGAGTGGCCAGGACTGCCAGGTAGAGATGCCCAGGTTGTGCACTGCACAACCACAACATCTGAGATTTGTATAGGAAGTAAGGCCACTTCCCAGTTTAATAAATATGTAGATTTAGGAGAGGAGCACCTTTTTATTATTTACTCAAAAGTACCATATGCCTCAGTGGCATTCTGGGTAGGTGGGTGTTTATGGAGGTCAGGTGTGTGTGGGGGGACTCTTAGGGTCTTCTGGGAATCTAGCAATATTAGTATTTCTGCCCTGATAAACCCCAAATGCTGCCTCCTCCTGTGTGATGTTGACAATTGCTGCCTTTGGGTAACATCTAGCTCTGTATCCAGTACTTATACTAGAAGCTTCCCCAGCAGTCACTCAAGGGGGGTGCAAAGGGCAGCAGGACTTTGTGGGCCACTCTCTCCACCTTGTGCACACAAAACCAGAAACAAGATTCCAAGTACGTCTGCCAAAAGTAGTGTCTCTTCAGACTGGTTAAGCTGGTGTACAGGCAAGGATTGCAAGACTCTAATAGAAAGCTGTGCCCATTAGTTAGGATAGGCTGGGTTTTGATGAAGTAACAAAGGATATTCAAAACCCATCAATGGGTTAACAAGACAAAAGCTGACTGTTCCCATCAAGTTGTCTTCCAAGGGCATCTCTTCTTCCATGTTGCAATCCCTAAATCCCAGACCACTTTCATCTGGCATCCCCAAATCTCAAAATGCACCCCCATGATCCTTACAGAAGAGGAAGAGACTCTAGGGGTCCCAAAATGACACTAGAGACTCCAGCCAAGAAGTGACTCATGCCACTTCTACTCAGAACTCATTGGTTGAAACCAATGGCATGCCTGTCTAGTATAGGCAGGGACAAGGTAGGGTAACTTTCCTGTGACCCCAAAGGTAAGGAGAACGAAGGGATGAGCTCTAGAATTCTCTCAGCTAGAGTGGCTGCAATTCCAGGGAACAGAACATCTCCTTGCCCCCTTCCAACTAGTGATATAGCAGGCCCTGGCCCCCAAACCCATTCCCCTGGTTCTAAGGTCTGTTTGTATTACTAAGAATTAAAAATAGTGGTAATTTATCCCTTTATTGGAACTTTCTAGATACCTCAGAAACCACTCACATTTCAAATAGAGGGGAGAATGTTTATTAGACATAGGAGAAGGAAGAGAGTTGTGAAGAACTTTCCACGGGTTCTCTGAGACTTACCTTGTGAGGCTCAGAGGATGCAGCAAGCCAGCTATTTGCATGCCCTGCCGAAGGGCAGACAGAGGGAGCCTGGGGTCAACCTCTCCCTTAAAGGGAGCCTCCCCTGACTACCTTGCTTCTCAGCGTGATCATTCTGTCCTTTCAGCATCCACATGATGGACAACATAGACCCCGAGTATGTGACTCATACGGCCCTGTCTGCATGTGCACCCCCTGCCTCCCTCTGGACATTGTTTCTGTAGCTCCCCATTTATCCAAAAGCTTTCTCCCTTTGTAGAAAGGCCTCAATAAAGTGACAATGACAGTGCAATTGTCTCCTAATAACAAAGCAGAGTGACATCACATTGAATTATCTACAACAAGTGAATGGAAGACTGGAAGGCTCTGCATGCTGGGAAACTCAATACATCTATGAAGGTTCTCTTCTCCCACTGCCTTCTGGCATTTAGACCTGGATGGCACTTGAAGCCCAACATGGCCAATTCCTCCTCTACACTGATCACTTCCAGTCCAGCCCTAAGTCTAAATCTCAGCATCTTCCCCAACTCTTCAGCCCTTTCAATCTTTGCATGCAATTGATTAAGGGTGGATGAAATTCACCCCTTCATCCCCATTCCCTTCTCTTGCTGGTCCACTCTGCCCAAGCCTCCTCACCCACCTACCACTTCTAGCCTCTCCCATTCATGCCCATCTCTCCACAGACTGTCTGTACCATCCAGGGGAACCTTTGTGCAGGACTTTGGCCATGCCATGTTTGGATTCAGTACTCATCCCACCACTACTTAACAATACCATGACCTTAACCAAGTAGTGAATGAGGGTCACCAATTTGTCCCACTTTCCCCAAGACTGTCTCAGTTTTGGCATCAAAGGTTCTGTGTCCTAGGAAACCCCTCAGACCTCAGCAAACTGAGCTATTTGGGCTCCCTGTTGTTAATGGAAACTTAGTTCCCACATTTGTCAAAGGGGAGTTAAAATAGTACTTAACCCACACCGTCTTCCAGAGGATTGACCGTTACAATATATGGAAAGTGCTGAAAGTATACATTAGCCTCCTAAAAATATTTTCTGCATTACATCCCATTGACAGAATCAGTATGAATGGTGAAGAGATTGAGATTGTGAACAGCTTTAGTTTGCTTGACTACACAGTCAACACTCTTGGTACCAGCAGCCAGGAAATCAAGAGACGAATTGCATTAGGAAAGTCATCTGTCAGGGACCTCTCCAGAGTACTGAAGAGCAACGATGTCGGTCTGGAGACTAAGGTGCACCTGATTATAGTCTTCGCAATTGTGTTCTATGAATCGGAGAGCTGGACAGTGACTAGGGATGATAGAGAATTGATGCCTTTGAGCTGTGGTGCTGGAGAAGAGTGTTGGACTGCTAGGAGAACAAACAGGTTTGTCTTGGAAAGAATAAAGCCAGGAAGCAAGTGATTCTGAAGCTTCATCTGACATACTTTGGGTATGTTGCAAGGAGGGACCAGTCCTTGGAGAGGGACATCATATTTGGGAGAGTGGAGGGACAGCCCAGGAAAGGAAGACCCTCAATGAGACGGATCAATTCAGTGATTGGGGTGGCTGGAGTAGGAGTCTTAGAGACATTGAGGTTGGCACAGGATAGAGCAGGGTTTAGGGCTCATGTACATAGGGTCGCTATGAGTACCAAGCAGCTCCACAGCATATAACAACAACAATAACAACAACATCCCTTTCTTTTCCTTCATAATATTCCACCAAATTGGAAACTCTAGAGCTGTTTAAAGTGCCAAATGGACTTCCTCACCATACGGAGCTCCATGACAGACTTCTCCACTGCTGTGTCTCAAAGCCTAGGCCAGTGTCTGCTGGCTGATAAAATAAATGGATTAGAGAATAAAGACTCTTCCGTAAGCCCCTTTGCTAAGACCTGGCTTCTAGTTTGAGAATGCCTTCAGGTGTAGATTGTGATTAATTGTGGCTCTTTGGCTGCTGGTAACACTGTGTCTCTGGCTCACTAAGTTATAAGAGGAGCGTGTTGGATTGAAAGAGCCATAACCCAGGAGACTCCAGAGGTTCATGTCGGAAAGTACTGGCTGGGGGTGGTTGCTTTATGGCATCCATGTCCCAATGAATCAGCTCCACATCCCTGTTGGAATGAAAATGCAAAACTGTGATACGCTTGGAGTAGTCACAATAGTCACAGTGTGAACTCAGGAGTGGACTAGGCAACTGACTAGATCATCATTCAACGGCTGACATCGGCAGCTCTGTAGCCTGGGCGCCACTCAACCCCAGTGGCACAGCTCACAGCACATTCTCAGTGGATGGCGCCCTCTGGAGTTGCGCAGTGCACAACCTTACGGTTTGGAGCAGACCTGAACCAGGAAGGGATATTTTCCCAAGGTAAAAGAGAATGTAGCAGGCAAGGGTGTCAGGAAGACCAATGACACAATTATTGTCACCTACAGATGAGTTGACTAGGGTTAAGAGGAAGGGGATAATTGGCATTATTTGATGTATCTGTAAAGTCTAGTCTTTCCAGGGCTTTCAGACCAATTGTTGCCCACCAGGTCTTCACTTTACAGCCATAAATGATGAGATCTCCTGACCATGCACCATCCCTCATCCTGGGCATCCCATACATATTTTTCTATACCTGTTCAATCTCTATGTTAGGTAAATAATTTGAAATCTGGGCCATATGGGGAAGAAAGTGCATCAGGATCAGAGGAAGAAGACTCATAAACAACCTGCTTAATGCAGATGACACAGACTTGCTTGCTGAAAGTGAGGACTTAAAACACTTGCTTTAGACGATCAAAGACTATAGCCTTCAGTATGGATTGCATCTCAACATCAAGAAGACAAAAATCATCACCACTGGACCAACAGGCAACATCATGATAGTTGGAGAAAAGATAGAAATTGTCAACTATTTCATATTTCTTGGATGCACAATTAACCACGTAATTAACAATTACAATCCATTAGAAAATCAAAAGATGTGTTGCAATGGGAAAGCCAGCAGTCAAGGACTTCTCTCAAGAGCTGAAGAACAAGGATGCCAGTTCAGACTAAGGTGCATTGATTCAAGCCACAGAAGAAACAATGCCTTTGAGTTGTGCTGGAATAAAGTAGTAAGTATCCCAGGAACTGTCAAGAGAAAAACCAAATATGTCTTGGAAAGGGTGCAGTCAGGGTGCTTCTTAGGGGGAAAGGTGATGAAACTTTGTCTCATATACCTTGGGCATGTTGTTGTTGTCATTAAGTGCCATCGAGTCAAAGGTGACTCATAGCAACCCTATGAAGGAGAGTCCTCAACGCTTGGGTGCCTTTCATCCTCTCTCCAGGTTCATAGGTTTCCGGAGGCGAGCTATTACAGAAGTGGATCACTTTGGGCATATTGTTAGGAAAAGATCATACTTGGAAAAGTGGAGGGTCAGTGAAGGAGGGGAAGACCCTCAATGAGATGGATTAACGTGGTGATTGTAACAATGGGCTCAGATGTGGCAGAGATGATGAGAATGGCACAGGATAAGGCAGGGTTCAGATCTGATGTTCCCAGGGTCACTTTAAGTCATAATTGACCCCATTTCACCTAACAACAACAATTACAATTCTGCCACCTAGTGGCCATATTGGTCATTCCATTATCCAATGTCAGCTTGCCTATTAAATATTAAAACA